TGAAAACTTCAGACTTGATTATTTGGGGCAGAAAAGCTTTACAACAAACCACTGCGGTGTCAAGGGAGCTTGACACTTAGGGCTGATGGCGTGAGATGTTGAAGGGAGAGCTTGCGACCCGCGGACTTGCGGTGCCATGGGAACTTGAGGCCTTGAGTTCCCAGACCATCAGACTCTAATCCCATTTGTCGCCAGGTCATCAGACACTCTCCGGCTGACCTCCAGGTCTTTGTTCTGAGTCTTTTTGCACGAATATTGCATGTGTGGGTTCTCTCCGGGTACTCCGGCTTCCTCCCAAAGTCCAAAAGCATGATTGTTAGGTTAATTGATTTCTCTAATCCCATTTGTCGCCAGGTCATCGGACACTCTCCGGCTGACCTCCGGGGCTTCGTATGGAGCCCCGTTGGTCTCCGGCTGACCTCCAGGTCTTTGTGCCGAGTCTTTTTGCACGAATATTGCATGTTCTCCCCATGCTTGTGTGGGTTCTCTCCGGGTACTCCGGCTTCCTCCCAAAGTCCAAAAGCATGATTGTTAGGTTAATTGATTTCTCTAAACCCATCCTTAGGTGTGAATCTGTGCATACACGGTTGTTTTTCACCTGTCTGTCTCTGTGTTGCTGGCGACCTGTCCAGGGTGAACTCCGCCTCTCGCTGGAGCAAGATACCTCCCAGATCTTCCATTTTTGGTCTGAAGGTTTTCTAAATAAATTTGTTAGCATACGTAGCGGGAGCTGAACTCCAGTATTACACCAAGCCCTATATATTAATGCAAAATATTAACAACATTGTCCTAGTACTGAAAAGTCATGTCCCGAGCCTTCACATGAATAGTACGTCATTTTGAACAAAAATGTGCAGCAGTGCTGAGGCATCGTCTGGTTTAGCCAAGTAGGATTGACGACCTCTCCAAGATGGCCACCGTGTTTCCTGCCTCCAAGCAGTCAATGCGGAGCCTATTCTTCTATTATGCCTGTGGGTTGAGCGGTTGAAGCTGCTTCTCAGCCTACATTTCCCAGAATGCAGTGTGGTTCTGGATCAGAGTTCGGTAAATATTCTTTAATACAGTGGACCAACCCTGGTCCTCAGGAACCACTGTCCTGCATGTTTTTGATGAGTCTGGACTCCAACACAACTAATTCAGATGACTGCATTTCCTTCTTTGCATTCCTGAAATTGTTGCAGTAGCTGGTTAATCACCTGTTCATTTAACCCAGGTGTGCAGCAGCAGGGAAACGCCTAAAATATGCAGGACGGTGGGCCCTGGGGTCCAGGGTGGGGACTACTGCTTTAATATATTGAATATTTTCTCAGATATCTCATCTATTAATAAACCAGCTATATCTCCTCGCTAAATCCACAAATCTGCTCCACATTTTTCGTGCGTCGTCAAGGAGCGCCGCCGAACGCATCGATGCGTACCGCCTGGTGGACGGGCGCGGAAACTGCGCAACAACTTCTGTGTTGGAACGTGGGCAGCATTGATGGAAACTGTGCAACAGCTTCCGTGGTGCGGGTGGAGGTGCTGAAAACTGCGTGAGAGCTTCTGTGGTGGCTGGCATCGGGCAACGGTTGGTAGTACCCCGCGGTGGCCAATAGGCCGGAGCGGCGCTTGGCTGCGCGGGCCGCACGACGCCGCTTGCGGCTTTAATTGGTATTGTTTTTTTGATTAAATTATTTCATGTTTGAATTCATTTTCAGAGTATGTCTTTGCATCAAGAAAAGACAATAATTCAGCAACTGCTAGGTGCTGCGGCTTAGTTGGTCAAAGTGCCTGTCTCATAAACAGGAGGTCCTGGGTTCAAATCCCAGCAGTACCTGTGGATGGTTTTCAACTCATGCACTTTGATTTTTCCAACTACTTGATGCAGTTTTCATATTATGTCCTGGCATTTAGTGAAAGTGTTATCATTACAACTACAAGGTGCTGTGGCTTAGTTGGTCAAAGTACCTGTCTAGTACACAGGAGATCCTGGGTTCAAATCCCAGTAGTACCTACAAATGATCAGCTTTGTAGTTGGTGTTGTTTTTTGATTAAATTATCTCATATTTGAATTCATTTTCAAATTGTCTTTACATATAGAAAAGACAATAATTCAGCAACTACAAGGTGCTGTGGCTTAGTTGGTCAAAGTGCCTGTCTAGTTAACAGCATATCCAGGGTTCAAATCCCAGCAGTACTGCCAAATGATTAGATTTATAATTGACATAGTTTTTTTCTTATTTTCTTTCATATTTGAATTCATTTTCAATATATGTCAAGGCGTCGAGAAAAGGTAATGACACAGCAAATGCAAGGTGCTGTGGCTTAGTTGATCAACATACCTGTCTAGTAAGCAGGAGATCCTGTGTTGAAATTGCAGCAGCACCTTTGAATAAAATGGCTTTTTGACTGAGGTAATTTAGTTTTTTGTGCTACCTTCTCTTTACAATATGTCCTGGCATTTAGAGAAAATGTTGGATCAACAACTGCAAGGTACTGTGGCCTATTTTGTCAAAGAGCCTGTCTATTAAACTGGAGAACTTGGGTTCAAATTTAGATGCGCCTTAGAGTAATTGTTTTTAGAATTGATGCATTTTTGTTGTGTAAATTGGCTTATATTTGAATTCAGTTTCAAAAAATGCCCTGACATTAAGTGAACACATTATTTCAGCAGTTCCAAGGTGTTTTGGCTTAGTTCGTCAAAGTGCCTTTCGAGTAAATAGGCACCGTTTAACAGACATTGTCTGTTTAGTAAACAAGCACTGCTGGGTTCAAGTCCCAGCATTGCTTTTGTAAAAATTACATTCATAATTGATGCACTTTTTTGTATTTCTTGATATTTGAATTCAGATTCAAAATCTGTGCCCATATTTAGAGAAACTGTCACATCCATAAATCAAGGTGCTGTGGCTTAGTTGATCAACATACCTGTCTAGTAAGCAGGAGATCCTGTGTTGAAATTGCAGCAGCACCTTTGAATAAAATGGCTTTTTGACTGAGGTAATTTAGTTTTTTGTGCTACCTTCTCTTTACAATATGTCCTGGCATTTAGAGAAAATGTTGGATCAACAACTGCAAGGTACTGTGGCCTATTTTGTCAAAGAGCCTGTCTATTAAACTGGAGAACTTGGGTTCAAATTTAGATGCGCCTTAGAGTAATTGTTTTTAGAATTGATGCATTTTTGTTGTGTAAATTGGCTTATATTTGAATTCAGTTTCAAAAAATGCCCTGACATTAAGTGAACACATTATTTCAGCAGTTCCAAGGTGTTTGGCTTAGTTCGTCAAAGTGCCTTTCGAGTAAATAGGCACCGTTTAACAGACATTGTCTGTTTAGTAAACAAGCACTGCTGGGTTCAAGTCCCAGCATTGCTTTTGTAAAAATTACATTCATAATTGATGCACTTTTTTTGTATTTCTTGATATTTGAATTCAGATTCAAAATCTGTGCCCATATTTAGAGAAACTGTCACATCCATAAATCAAGGTGCTGTGGGATAGTTTGTGAAAACGCTTGTCTATTAAAGAGGAGATCGTGGGTTCAAATCCCAGCAGTGCATTTGGAAAATGTGGCTTTTAAATCTATTTACATTTTTGTTCAAATTGTTTGATATCTGAATTCAGGTTCACAATATGTCCTGACATTTAGAGAAAGCATTATATCGGCTGTTCCAAGGTGCTGTGGCTTAGCTGGTGAAAGCGCCTGTCTCATTAACAGGAGATCCTGGGTTCAAATACCCTCTGTGCATTTGAATTAATATGCTTCTTTAATGGTTTTGTACGCACTTTTTCCCCCCCCACTTTTACTATATTCTTTGACATTTAGAAAAATAGTAATATCAGCAATTTTGTTTCAAAAATGAATTCATTCCTGTGGTTTTTTAGGTCTTCTCTCATCACTTGCATGTAGACAATAATTAAGGAATCAATCAATTGAATTTATTGTTACGCGCTCTGACATGTCTTCCCATCTTATCTTGATGTGTATCCTTCTATGCATTTACACACACATGAATTTTCTGTATTCATGAACTTCTGCTCACAGCCGTGATTCCCGCAAAGGCACTGCTCTCTTTCTGGAGGAGACGTATGCAGACATATATGTTTTACCATCAAAAATAGGAAAACATTCAATCATTTTAAAAAGAATCAAAATGTTTGAATATAAGACTGAAAGTGGACTGTAATAGCAAAGATTCTGTGACATGAAGGCCTATTAAATGCAACAATGCAACGCTGGGTGCTGATTTTTCAAGTAGCTGGAAATTATAACTGTTTTAAAAAATATATATAAACACCCTGGAAACTTTTTCTCATTTTTTCTTTCAAAAATCTTCACAAACTCGCATATAGATGTAAAGTGCTCTTAAGAAAACAAAGACCAGGGAAGGAAAGAGGAAACAGGAGAAACTACCAAAAGTATTATAAAACGTGACATTCAGTAATTAGTTCTTTTTTGTTGATGGTTTTTCCCTTCTCTCTCTCACTTCTTCCCAAAATGTATTTTTTTCTGTTTGTTTTATTTTATTTTTGTTGTTCATTGTTCTCTTGTCTAATTGGTTATTTGATATTTTGTTGATTAGTTCCTCTGTTTATTAGAGTGTGATGTTTGTCTTAAATGCACTAATTGGTGAATTTAAAAAAAAAGACAAAGGAAAAAGCACAGACATTTAAAACATAATGATTAAAAAGATCTCATTTAGAGTTTGCTGCCACAAGCTTTGTGGGGAAAGTGTGAAAAACCTAATAAATGTATTGATTCAGAGTTAATGAATATAAATGCAGACATTTTTCTCATTTTTATTTTTCAAAAGATTTCAAAAACAAGATTTTCCCCTTCACTCCATAATTCCTCTTTGTTTCTAGATCTTGAAATTTCAATCAAACTCACGTTTGCAGTCATGAGGCGACAAATGGTTGGAGACTTTAGTAAGGCGCTACCGAAACGTCACGCCCTTCTCAAATCCCTTCTAAAAAAAATTCACATTTTCTTCAACCGCAATATGCTGCAATCTACTTACTTTTGCAAGTTTTTCCATCCGGTCCGAGTGTGAAGCCTTTCCTGCATCGACACACACACGACTCTCCGGCGCTCACAAACTCCTGTTCACAGCCATGGCTGCCGTCAGCACAGGGATCCACTTCTGTGTGTGAGAAACACAGAGAGAGAGAGTGCGTGGTGTGTGTGGGTGTGTGTGTGTGTGTGTGTGTGTGTGTGTGTGTGTGTGTGTGTGTGTGTGTGTGTGTGTGTGGGTTGGTCAGCAGTTCTGAAAAGTTTCTTCTCTTCATCAGCAATATCCCTTCTCAAGATTTGTTGGCTAATGGGCAAAGAGCAACAGCAAACATTTTTGAATGACGACGTCCTAGAGTTTTCTTGTGCAATTTATTTTTGGATAAATGAAGAAGTATAACATGGAAAAAGCCAAATATCAGAACCATGTGAGTTCTGCGAACCTGTTTTTGAGAAATGAAAAAAACTTTGGAAAAAAAAGCCATCACGCAAACAGGCGTCATCTCAGCTACCTGAAGTTTTGGTGGTAATCATCTGTTTGTTCTGAATGTATTGTGAGGTGAATGTTTTGATAAAACTTTTACATGATGCATAGGGAGCATCACTTTGCCTTAATATGTTGATTTTGAAAAATATATATATATTCATATTTATCCCTCTCAACCCTTTCATAATGTGAAGAGTTTATTATTCAGAATCAGCTTTTCAAAATTTGAACCTGATCAAAAAAATTACACATTTTAACAGGTTAACTGTAAATTAATTGATTCGATTGCATGAATCAAGTGGTTTGGAGAATGAATGTTCAGATTTCTGATTTTGCTTTATTAAATGATTTTCATCTCTTTCTATGAAGAAAGTAAACTCATGATTAATGCACAGAATTTGGATTTCCAAAAACCTCACTTTAGTGTTAATAAAGTGACAACAGGACTTTCCGCCAATCCCGTAACTCTATCACCAAAATACCATTAAATGAGTTTTATTATGTTGTATTTAGAAACCCAAAATGCAAGTTGTGGACAATTAGACATAAAATTGTATTTACTTTTACAAGTTTTCCCATCCGGTCCGAGTGTGAAGCCTTTCCTGCATCGACACACACACGAGTCTCCGGCGCTCACAAACTCCTGTTCGCAGCCATGGCTGCCGTCAGCGCAGGGATCCACCTCTGTGTGTGAGAGACAAAGTGTGTGTCAGTTTTGGAGAGTTTCAACGCTGCAGCCCATTCTCAACATCCGTCAGGTTATCATGTGTTTGATACTTTTTGAGTTCTGTTGTGTTTTTTTGTTTTGGGGCGAAAAGAAAAGAATCTGTAAACGTTGGAGACAGCCGAGTCATTTGGTCTACTTGTGCAGGTGTTTTTCTGCCTTTCACAGAAGAAGTTATTTATTAGTGCATCCTAATAAATTCTCCCTCCAAATATCTTCACATGTAGCAAATAGGAAAAGTTTGATAATCCTAACTGATCTAAAACTGGAACAAAATATAATTTAATGCTAAACACTAAGAAATAAAACAAATCTATTATAACGTAGGTGAATTTCTGACTTTATTTTATACATATCACTACACTTGTTTTGCGAACATTTTTACCAAACAGAGTAGCGAGAGCCTTACTTTGGCAGGTTTTCCCGTCTGACCTGAGTGTGTAGCCGCTTGTGCATTTACACACGCAGGAGGTTTCTGTGTTCATAAACTCCTGTTCACACCCGTGGCTTCCAGCACCGCAGTGATCAATCTCTGAGAAGAAAGACGACAACAATGACAAAAAAAATCGCTTTAAACATTAAATTCTCCCCAATACACCGCTATTTATTGAAAGCAGGAGTTCACGAATGGCTTCAGAGTCGATTTGGTCTCTTGATCTCGTTCCAGAAATGAGGGAAAATTCTCGTACGGCTGCAAGTCTTTCCGTCTGCGTTCAGGACGAAGCCTTTCTTACAGCTGCACACGTAGGATCCCGGTAAGGTGACACAGTTGTGCTCACAGCCGTGGTTTCCCAGGTCACAGTAATCTATTCCTGAGGAGGGAGAGAGGAGACATTATTAATGTCATAACCACACCGCCAGCTGCACTTACAACAGGACTAACACAAAATCTACGAATGAAACAGATTTAAAAAAATAAATAAAATGGCGTAACGTTCAGTCTTCCCTTCGGGGACACTGCAGTGAATTCGAGATCAGTCAGGTAGATGTGTTTGGATTCAGTCTGGATGTAAGTCTACGTTTCTGATGATTGCAATAACACACATCCTTCAGGAAATCCCCCTCTGCTTTTTCTTTCTTTTTGTGTGTGTGTGTGTGTGTGTGTGTGTGTGTGTGTGTGTGTGTGTGTGCGCGCGTGCGTGCGTGCGTGCATGTATGTGTGTTAGCCTTCAACAAAGAGAGCAGAGGGAAGCTTTCCCAGCAGTGGGTGGACAAGACATCAGCAGTAGCAGAGCTGCTGGCTGTGGTTTTAGCCGGCAGGCCACAAAGATCATTTATTTCCAAAAGATGCTTTCATAGTAACCACTCAGCATAACTGTTTTTGCCTCGTCCGCCACATGCGTTGCACGGCCTTATTTATTCAGATCATTTGTGGTCATAATTAAAACTTTGTCATATTTTGCGCTCGTTGCCTTGAAGGCGAAAACAGTAAGATTTCCATCACACTACGACCCTTGAAAAGTGTTGGTGTGCCTTGAACTTGTTACAATGCGAACACAAACGTCAACACGCTTAATGAGAAATGATTGTGATGAGTCAACACAAAGATGATCATAATTGCGAAGTAGAAGGAAAATGATTCATGGTTTCCAATGGGGATTTTTTCCCGACAAGAAAAAATCTACAAGTTATGCAAAGTTTTCAGTTCAACTTTTCTGTTGAATTGTTATTTTATGTCAAAGACATCTGGAGTTCTGCCTTGATTTTTTTCATGCATGTTTGAGAAATTCTTAAATCTCTCATGGCAACCCTTTGGCTGTGCATAACGCCGGGGTGGACCCAGCCCCGTCTTCAAGGCCAAGCTCCTCCTCAGAGCTGCATCTTACAAGCTTCCAACTTATTGCCCCACTCAGTTCCTTCAGACTAGCCAGCAGAAATGAGCAAACACCTGGTGGAACTGCTCATCTGCTGAGCAGAATATATGAGCTACTTCTCAGTGCAACAATGGTAAAAACGTCGCAAGACAGTTAATAGACCAGACATGTCTATTAACTCTCTCTGATGTTAATAGACATCGGATAGATGTCTATTAACATCAGACCTCCACCTCCAGGATGAATTCCTGGAGGTGGAGTTTCAGAAAGAGCAGGAGTTTTTAAAGAGGCAGAGGCCAAACTATAAGGCTTTAAATTACGATGTTAAATTTCTTTCAAACCATAATTTTATAACAAGTGAAGGTAACATAGGTTACCGACTCTGCTAGAAAATGATTGTACATGGCTAGAAAACATACAGTACTGTCCCTTTGAAGTAAAATAATAAGCAGGAATAAGCAGGATTGTGTCAAAGTGAGACTTCTTACTGTTGCATGTCTTCAGGTCAATGGTGAGCTCATATCCTGGACGACAGTGACACTCGTAGCCATCAGCCAGGTTGACACAGATGTGATCACAGCCGTGGTCCACCGCAGCGCACGTATCCTCAGCTGCAGAGACAACATGGCGGCAGGTCGCTAACCGCTTCAGAACCGCCGCACTGGAAGTGTTTACCAGTCAGAAACTCACCTTTACACGTCTTCCCATCCGGGTTGAGAGAGAAGCCTTTTCTGCACCTGCACCTGTAGGAGGCGGGACTGCTCACACAGATGTGCTGGCACTGATGCTCCACCACTTTGCACATGTCTGATCCTATTGAACACATACATGTAAACGCTACAGCGCTCTGCAATGAATAACAGCAACTAAAACCAAGGTCAGGGATTGCTCACCTCCACACAGTTTGGACTTGAACACTGAGATCAGGGTTTCTATCTGACTAAAATTGGCCACCAGGTGGACGTGCTCAGAGTGAGGCTCGCTTCCTATGGCCTTCAGCGTGTTCATCTCCACCCGCCCCACTCCAATAGCAAAAATCTGGATGCCGGCCTCCCTCGCTTCAGCCGCGATCTCCTCCACCGTGTCCTGAGGTCTCCCGTCCGTCACGATCATGGCGATCCGTGGGATTTGCAGGCTCTTCGGTCGGGCCCCCTGCTCCTCGGTGAGCTCTACCTCCATAGTGTGCTGGATGGCCAAGCCGGTCATGGTGCCGGTGGCCAGATGCTGCATGTTTCTCACAGCCTCTTCCACCTGGGCTTTGGCGGTGTAGGTGTTGAGAGAGAACTCAGGCTGGACCACGCTGCCGTACTGCAGCAACCCCACTCGGGTGGCATTGGGGCCAACGTCGAGGAATTGCAGCAGGTTGATGATGAAGGTCTTGACCTTCTCGTAGTCTTCGGGTCGGATGCTCCTGGAGCTGTCGATGACAAAGACGAAATCCAGTGGCGTGGCTTTACATGGATTCTCTGCAAACCAGGAAGAGGGCTGAGGTCAGATTTTGGTCCAAAGATGACCAGAGGAGAGACACACACTGCAAAACTACAAAATCTTATGAAGTTTGCTTTTATTTATTTATTTGCAGTGCCAGTTGTCTCGTTGACACCGAGTCTCTCACCCGGTATGATGTTCTGGATGGTTGTGTCGTTTCGTCGTTTGATCGTGACCAGTTTAGCACGGCGTCTCTCTGGACGCTCTGCGCCGCAGCACAGCAGGCAGAAGAAGGCCGAGGCCAGGGCCAGCGACCTCATGACGACAAGAGGAGGCAGCTGCAGAAGAGAGGCAACATAACAGGGATTCATAAAATGAGAGCTCGTCGGAATGGAAATGACAAAGACAGAAACTCAAGATGCAACAAGCAAGGAACTCTGCTGTCAAATAGGGAGTCTTGATGCTTGCTGACCGGTTGCAACCACAAATGTCGACGCATCTTACTTGGGGCGTTTCTGATTCCAACACAAAGTAGAAAAAGACAAATCATATTGAATCTGTTCTATAGTTATTGCATGAAGAAATGTTGAAGGTGGCTTTCAAACTTTTTTACCCTGGAGACCAAAACGAACTAATTTAAACTACTCAAAATTCACTAAATCAAAAGTCCAAGATGTTTATGATGGTTTCGTTTATTCGTTTGATTAACCTGCTCAACAATAAACATTTTGCATTGAAACCTGCACATCATTAAATATCGAAAACCTTGAAAAAGGGCTTCAAGCTGTTGCCTCATCAAAGGATCAGTGTTATGTAAAATCAACTTTTTTGAGCTTTAATTTAAATGTTAAATCTGTCCAGGTTTCCACAGTATTTGGGGTTTCACCGTGAATTCTTGCTGAAGATAGCTCCAGATAGGCAACGTCCACATACATAGACTCTGGTCCGACAAGGGAAGGCGGTGCTGTGTGTAGGCTCCGTCTCCATCCGTGGTTTCCTTCATTGCAGTTGGTTCAGATAGCCAGGTTCTTCCAACCCTTTCCATCAATTTCTACTGAGTCATCGTTTATCAAATGTACACAGAGTTCCAGTGAAGAAGTAGCTCCTGCCATTTTAGAAATATAGCATATTGCTCTGGTCCATAAATCTTGAATCGCTGAATATTCCCAGACGGCATGAACAAAGAGCCCAAAGTCTCCTGAGGGTCGGGGCAGGGGGTAGAATGGACAGAACCCATCTGGTGCAGCGGCCATTTTGTTTCTAACAACTGGCGTCCAAAAAAAAAAATCCATGACAGAATTTCACATGAATATAAAGATTTTTAGAATTCTTTCAAGTTTTTTGCTTGCTCCCCCAGTTCTTATTCTGAAGTAGAAAAACAGTGATTGATTGTCAATATTGTGTTTTCACATCAATTCCTGCAGGCTAACGATCGCTGATTCCCCAATGCGATCCCAAAGTTTTTCTACCCTCATCATCCTGATTTTAATCATAAAATGGTTTTCCTCCAGACTTTAATGTAACTTTTAATGAAAATTTGTTTCACGTATTTATTGTCACTGTGTTGTGACAGTACGTCATGAAACATGGCTCCCAGTCAAAAATGAAAGTCAGACAGAAAGTCTGTGAAGGACATCGAGCTCCTCTGCCTTCTCCCAGTGCTAACTAGAATCAACCAATCAGAGAAGGGTATTAGTGCTGGTGGAGACCACCTCTCTGTGTGGCGCTGCTCATCCCCCATTGCACAGCCTGTCATGGACACTAAGGCCAGTTAGCATAGCCACCGATGACAGCGGATCAATGGCTTTCCTGTAACTTTAAATGTTTCTCCTCCATTAGCATATTTAGCTGCGAGAAAGTGAGATTGATTGACGGCGCAAAGTCCCTCCTCTTGGCTCTGATTGGCTGTTTTTGGTCGGGATCTGTGCATTTCTTCAGACAACAGTAGCAGCTCAGGACGAAGGTGAAGGAGATTGATCTCTTCACAGATTATCTGCCTCATAAAGTACTGTCATGACATGCTGGCAGTTTTAACAAATGCGTTTGGCTCCTCTGAGCGCAGACCTCTGATGACTTCACCTGGAAGAAAAATACCAGCAGGATCTGGAAATGGGCTTGACAGAGTTTGCACATTCTGAGAAACCTCAAATAAGGATCACTTCCTACCGTAATCCGACAGAGCTGCAGCTGAGCGTCTGCTGACACTTCAGGGCCGCAGTCATCCATCAGCATCGTGTGTTCAGAGCCGCTAGATTTTTATCCACACAGGTGGTTTAAGTTGATTTAAGAGAGCTTGAGAGATGGCACAGACTGTTTCCCAATCCGGCTCCCAGGAGAGCCATTCTCTCTCTACCATAGTCATATTCAGACTGTACAGCTTGCCACCGACGTGAAAAGCATCAACAATCACTACAACCACAAACAGCCACACTGAAGGACAGAATTGTGGTAAATCTGAACCGTTCAGATGAAGCAGGAAAAGCTGACGTCATGGACCACTGAACAGAGGAACAGTTTATACTGTAGCTGCTGACCTGGGTCAAACAGAGGTCACAAGTTCACCTCACCAACAAGCTGACCTCTGAACTCACTTTGCTTTGACGTCTCTTTACTACTCATCTAACTCTCACCCTCTTCTGTTCAACAGTGAAATAATACATATGCTGGCGATATGGAGTTAAAAATCACAATACTTATTGTGATCACAATAAAAGTGACAATGAAAAGTATTAGTTACTTCTTTTTAAGGTGACTAATACTGCTCCTGAAAAACATTTGCAATACACTTCTAAAGGACACCAGTAACATTAAGCGTAATTAGCTTCATTAAACTGCACACAAAGTTCCAAAAATGTATTGACATTTATTGATAGCTTTATTGAACAAACAACAGAGAAAGTAGTGAAACAAAAAATTCCAACAATGCAGACTGTCGGGAGGTTTCAAACATAAACCAGTTGGAATTTATTGCGAAAATCATCACGATAAATGAGGAACGATTCGATAAATGCTCATCCCTCGCTTACAGTAAGCCAAGCATCTAGTTTTAAAACATGTTTTTCTTCTGTCAGATATGATGAAATTGTATCAATGTTTTCTAAAATAAGTCCAAGATAATATGTTTACTATTATCTCAAGCAAACAACAATGAACTGAACAACTTTTATTAGGCCAGATCTCTGTTTTGGTCATTTCTCTGTATTTGATGACTTTTCCTGACAGGTGAAGGGAGCCCAGTTGTTTTCTGACTCAGACCTTGAAGCAAACATTAAATAATCTGTTTCCCAGATTAGCCTTCGCAAGAGTGGGAACAGAACTGTGTTCTAACATTGAAAGTTCTGAAAGTCACTCACCTTGTTGGAAAAACTGAATCAGTTTGAAGTATCAGTCTGAAGTGACTTTGAAACAATATCTCAGATCTTCCCCAGAACGGAATCAAAAAGAGAAGCTTCGATGGAAATACCTTTTCCCCGTCTTGCTGCCTCCCGCCGTAAAAGCTCACATCTATGTATGTATATCCCAGACGTGTGTCTCTCTGCTTCGCTCCGTCCCTTCCTCCATCTGCCTCACCTCTCTGTTTACACTCTCTGACTCAAACTTTGGAGACGCCTCTCGTTCAGCTCAGCTTGCCTGCAAACCCACAACTGCAGCTTGTGTTGGTTTCAGTGACATGTTGTCACCGAACTTTCCAAGCAAATAGCGCGGAATTAAAAATGACCTCATGTACAGCGTTTCAATATTTTAATAAATGACGTAAAAATAATGAGGGTGGGGGGGGGGAACTGATAAACAATGACGCTCATATCATTCACTGTGGAGGGACACTTCATTTGACCTCTGATGAGCTGAGAAGCCTGCATCAGCCGCCATGTTTGAAGTTCAAACACACGTAGCATCCAACGGACCCGTTCCATGGATAGTGCATGTGCACGCCACACGTTTCAGATTTTTATTTGTGAGATATTTTGAAACCCAAAGTTTTTCTTCCACTTCTCAGCTGCGTAATACTTTGTGTATCTGTATCTGTTTTACATTGAAGGGCGTGAATACCTGTGTAAATGTAATTATTCTTATTAAATGTCTCAAACGTTATTCTATGCTGTGTTTGTGTGTACAACCTTGAACCCAGAGTAAGATTCTAACACATTATCAAAACTTTTGAGCCACATCAAGATCAAGAAAGCACCTGAGGCAGAAAGCATTTATAAAACTACCTATAAAAAAAAAACACTATTAAAATATTAATAGAAAGCTGTTTGCATTAGAGGACTTCCTCTTGAGATTAAATACTATATATATTTTCACCTTCATATACAGTAAAACTGGGATTTTATTAACAAAATAATATTTAAAAACACAACTGTAATCTCAAAGGTTAGACGTGAAAGCTTATGGCGGGCTGGACTTGGCCTGCGGACCTGGGATTTTGACACCTGCTGAGACACAACAAAATATGGAAAAAGTGAAGAGCTGAGCGTTGAGCTGATTACTGCCAAATCTCAAAATAAAACGCAACATCTGTTCAGGAAATCTGGTTTTAATAGACAAAAATATCACATCAATTACTTCCATAAAACAGTGACTTTTGCGTCCTTGCAGGAGGTTTTGTTTTCAGGCAGCAACAAGCCAACAAGTCCATCTGGTGGAACATGGCTGTGTAATGTTTACACAGAGCAAAAAGCTGCTTCATTTGTGTTCTTTTCTTTGATCGAGAAAACACAAGCGGGGACCTGCTTCCCCAACAGTCCAGGTTCCCCTCATTCACACAACAGACTGACTCCGGATCAGCGCCTCTTAATGTGCTTTAAAAATAGAAAGAGCAGCTAAGCTAAGACGTTCTTCGTCGGTCGGTAGAAACGCGGTTAAAAGTTCACAACGCGGCGCTCCTGATTGTAGTAATTCAGTCAAAAAGAACAAAGAAAAAGAGGTGATATGGTCAGTGATGTACATTAGGGCGGCTCTTTGATCACGTCAGAATACAGGCAGATTCATCTCTTTGGAAAACTTCAAGTTAAGGGGACACTTAATACACGAGCAGATAAAGTGTAACCCGTTATAGAGACAGAGAGAGAGAGAGAGACAGAAGGCAATCCAACCCTGATCATGAGCAGAGACAAGACCAATACTGAATAACTCTGCATACATTCCCTCACTGATCCATACCGTTCATTAGCTGCGTTTCCATTAACTATAGAATTGCACAAATTTAAGTTCTAAAAATAAATTCGCTAAACGGAAACGTGCCAATTTTGAAAAAAAAAAACTCACTGGTTTCCATAAAAAGGTTTTTAAGGTACAATGAGCCAAATGAAATGAATTCATTTTATACGGCAGAAATCCATGGATTTCAGCCAAAATAGATGACCAGCTACTTTTTCACATAGCTTTTATTTGCGTCATGTGATCAACAGCCGGATGTTACCGCTGGCAGAAATGACAAAGAAGACAGGAAGTGGTAGCAGGACGATGGTTTGCTCAAATCCTTTCTGACAACATATATCTGGCTCCACCAGAGCTCACAGCACCGTATAGTTCATAAAAATATGTGTGTCACTCCAATGTTTTGAATCCATAACTCTCCTATAAAATCTGAGACCACTATTTCCCCAAAACACTGGATACGTAAGCTTTCTACATGTGACGTTTCTGATGAATTATGAATATTTCTCATGTAACTGTTTCCACCCATCACTGCCATATTTTGTAAAGACTTATTGCAATAACAAACATACTCCGGTGTGGCTGTAGCTTAATTTCTTAATTGACGGAAACAAGTTTTTTCGCAATTGCAAAATTTTGTTTAGTTCTTTTTTTTTTTACATAGATTTGCGCACATTTGTAATGGAAACGCAGCTACTGTTGCATTCGAGCATAAAATAAATATGACTAGATAAATAAGACTCACATATAATACTGTTACAAACCCACAAAGAATAAATAGAATTCACAAAAATATATGTCATCTATGCGACTTCCTGCAGCTTTCGTGTCATTTCAGCGAGAATCTAAAGCATACAACGCTGATCGCTCATGGATAAACCTAAGAGGAAGAGAGCTGACAAATTACAAGTTGGTCGGTAACGCCAAGGCGGAATGGGAGATCGCTGAGCGGTGTGTGCTGTCGCAGATATTCATGAACATAGTGTTAACTGGAGAGGCAGTGTGGTGCGTCATTTTGTTTGAGCGTGTCGTATCGAGAGCAAACAGGAGGATTCAATCTGCAGAATCCCAACATCAGAACGTTTTCACGCCGTCGCCTCGGCGCAGATGTAGGACGGAGGAGCCTGTTTGCATGGGATGCTGATGTTGTCGTCATACGGAGGCAGCAGCACCTGCACATCAACAACAGCAACAAAAAAAACAGAATATTTTTGGTCAGCATTGTTTTGTTTTTCACAAAGTATATGGTGCAATGCACAAGCAACATCTAGAAAAAGCAGAAAATGGGGATAAATATGTATATATTTACTACAGTAAGCATTACTATATCAGAATGTTTGCCTAATTATTAAGTAGATGAACTTAGGGACTAATTTACAACTAAAATTAGAATACTTAAATTAAAAAGTAAGACATTGAGAAAATGTATATCAGTAATACTGGAATCTGAAGCAAAGGGACGACAGGGATGAGAAAACACGAAGGAGAAACATTATACAGTGTAAACATAAGGATAGGAAGAAAAGAAACAAAGAATGAAAGGACGAAAAAACAAAAGAAAGTTTGTTTTTTCAGAGATCAGAGATGCAAACCTGAGATCCCATCAAATAAAATACCTAAGAGTCTTTAGCCTCCTCTGTACTTCCTCATTCAGCAGCTCAGTGACCAGACACCTGCTGAAGTCGCTTCTCGTTTTGTGTGGCCGACAAAAACGCGAGCTCCCTGAACGGTTCAGCTGGCTTCATATACAACACCATGTGTCTCACTGATGGCCCCATGTTTTAAACAATAAGCCATTGAGAAGGTCCGTTCCTACAGACATGAACGGACTTGGCCCTCAAACGCCTAACTGTTAAAAGTTACTTGTGCGTCATTTGTCATTCCTCTTCTTCCCTGGAAAACTTTGGTGAAGTGGTTTCTGGCAGTTCTGTTTCATCTGTGCTAAATTTTATTTCTAACAGAAGGTAATAATAGTCAGGAGAAACCTGCTGATTCCACTGGCCATCTTCAAGCTGATCTGCGCATATATGATTTATTATTTTTATTTCTATTTTAAGATAAAGCATTGCATATTTATTTCATCCTTCCAAACAAGAACTTCACTTCTATTTTTCTAAACGTTCGTCGAGAAAAACTCTGTCTGGCTTGAACAACTCAGAATCAGAATCAAGGTTCTTCTGCAAGTGCAATAGTAAATATTATATAAAATATTCTCAATTTCCATTTTGTGCAAGTCTTGCAAAAAAAAAAAACATTGCATTTGTTGTCGACATTATAATGATCACCCAAAATAACGTAAAAAACATTTTATTTACTTTTTTTTTTAAATGAGTCTGGCATAAGTAAACAGAAATCTTCAGAGATCTCACCTAGCCTAAGGTTTTTCAAATTGTGTCAGTTTGTGACTTTGTAAGTTTGATTTTTCTAATAGTATATTGTTAAATTTAGGGTAAAAAAGAAATAACCAGAAGAAAAGTCAACATTTGCATATTTTTTATTTGTTTTTATTTGTTTGAGTCAGAAATGTAGTTTTGCAATAGCGAGTCTTACAGGGTTCAGTATGCTTACTTTAGTATTTTAACCAATTTCCCTTTGTTTTTTAATGAAAGTCCAGGATGTGTGGGGTCTGCAGAAATGTTCGCCGTCCCTTTACTGACCTGAGTCCCATTTCTCTGCACTTTGGGATAAATATACAAACTGGTCCCCTGAGGGGAGTTTTTTGTGTTTCCTTGAGGCAAATTTATTTTTGAAAAATCAAAGTGCGCAATTATACGGCCAATGGAAACACAGCTAAGATGATGTGACAATCTGTGTTGGACACAACTGTTGTTTTACTTCAGCACAAAACGCTGCGAAAATGTAGTTTGTTACAAAATGGATCAAATTCATACCCAAGCAGTCTTGGCAAACGACCCCCGCCCCCACCACCACCACCACCACCACCAACCTCAAAAAGAGAAACTACCCTCATTTCGCGCTCTGATGCATTTTAATGGGGACCTTATTGCTTCTGTGTGGGAGTCAACCACTTAACGCTCGCCCAGGAATTCATCCCACATGGACTCTATTTGTGCACTTCTGACCTGAACAGTCGTTTTTACTTCTGTTTCACCGCTCAGGCTGTTAACCAAAAGCCACAGAGCGACCCGCAGTGTGTGTGTGTGTGTGTGTGTGTGTGTGTGTGTGTGTGTGTGTGTGTGTGGTGTGTGTGTGTGTGTGTGTGTGTGTGTGTGTGTGGTGTGTGTGTGTGTGTGTGTGCCAGGCTCTAATTGAACATGCCTTGCTTTTACTGAAAAAACATGAAACCTTGAGCCTGATGCTGGGAGATGAATGGACAGGTTCCTGCTGTCAGGCAGGAGAGAGGCCTCCTACTTCCCCTCTGCGCCGCCAGGTGTTTTCCTCATCAGGACCCTATGGACGTCCCCGCTTCCTAAACGTCCACGGCGACGCGTAAAACCACACGACGTATTAATATGTGGAGTGTTTGCTCGAAATGCTGCAGACTGGGAGC